AACGCTCCTCAATTTAACTGAGCATTGGGCTTCGCCAAAGGCTGATGGCATGGAGCAATTTTATTGAAACAAAGGTATGATTTTAGTCGTACAGGGTTGCAGCTATAGCAAACTAAAGGTGGGTGATAGACATTTTAACGGTTGTTAGGTGATAACATTAATAAATGATAAATATTAAGAGTGGATTTTAAGGATGGAAAGTGGGTTAATAAGGGTGGGTAGAGGGCCATGAAATTAGCTTTAGGCCCTATAAAAAATATTAGTTTATCACCCTTGGGCAGGAAAAGTGATGAGGGAGGGAGGTTTTTTTTTTGTTTTTTTTTTTTTGCTAAAGCCAAATATCACCCTTGGGTTGTTTGCTGGTGCATTGATATTCAAAGTAAAACATGATTTACATAATGCGAACAATATCTACTAACTATTTAATAAAATAAATGAAATAAATAAATTTAAAAAAAAAAAATTTTTTTAAACAAATTTTCTTTTTTTTCCAGTACCATCCATCAAAGACATGCACGCAAGGGTGATAAACTAATAATTTTTTTTATTGGGCCTTAGACTGGGTGGAAACTTTAAGGCTGCGTGACACTGCCCACGATAACTACATCCCAGATCATACTAAATATTGCGTATTAATGTGTGCAATTAGAATAAAATATGTTTATTATTATTAATAATGGTATTTTTTCTCGATGTAAAACAATATATTTCAAGATTGAATCCAGTGATGTCAGTTTTTAAGATGTACTGTCGATCATAATTCAGAAAAATTTAGGCATTTCAAGTTAACATGATTTGATAGAATTGTCTGTTCAGATGCTGCGGAAAGGCAGCTAAATTACATGATTTTTAACAAGTTTCAAATTTCAAATTATATGAAAGCTGAATGTAGTGGTCTTTAAGAAATGAGGCCTTGGGGTGTGGACCGATTTAGTATCAATATGTCTGATGGCGAGGCCCAGATAATCATGCAATTCTAGCGTCTAGTTGTAATCTATCTATCATTATAGTATCTATTCATCTGCATGAAAGGCTTGATTTTCATTTATTTCATCTGATTGATGATACATCAGATTCAGTTGTATGTCACAATTTTCAGTCAGTGTGATATTCATTCTTGAAAATGACTTCCAATTTTCTTTTTTAAAAATTAAATGATTCATTATGGGACATGGATCATTCGTCTATCAATTTAGAATTTGATGATACGAATGATGGATTATTCCATTTAATTCGCAATTACTGTTTTCTTCATTGTAAGAATATTTCCTGACATTATGCATGCATTATACACATGATTCAAGCTGTATCAGATAATATTAATAAAGTAATGAATACTGAGCTGCCTTTTGTGGTGAAAAACGGATGAAAATATTTCCAAAAAAGCCTGATTGATCTAAAATGTGTGGGCTGTGTATCTTCAAAAAGGATACAGGAGAAATAAATTTTAAGTTAATCACAAGAATGAACAAACATAAGTGATGCTGTAATAGTAATAATTGGTAGTAAGAACTTCATATTATTTGTTTATTAAGTAAATATGGTTGGTCTGTTTCTATATTAATTATATGAATTATTAAACCACACCCTGTATTTTTAAAGTGATTCATACTGTACAGTCGTCATTTTCATGCTACTATAATTGTTGTTTTATATTTAATAATTTTTTTTTATAGATGTGTTTGTCTTTGTGCAATTTGTTTGGTGATGACACTACAGTAATACTGATTGTCTTTCCTTGTGGGTTTTTTTTTCTTCCAGATTGTGATATATTCGTGGTTTTTGGACGACAAATTTTGAGTGCCACTTGAAATGGAAGCCCAACAGGTAATGTTCGAGAAACTGAAGCACGATGCAATGCCTCATTGATTACAGTTTGAAGTAAATAATGAGGAAACTATGAACAAAGCCGTATCTAATTGAATGCTTGTTATTATAAGATACCATTATTGATTCATACTACATTAGTTCTCTTTCTTACGATATTTATATTATAATTTATGATTTCAATAACTGAATTCACTCAAGAAAGACGCATTTTCCATTTCGGAATTAAAGAATGAAATTTTCTTGTGATTAATTTATTAAAAATTTAATATGTTTTTCAATTAATGTATTATATGATTTTTCATTTGTAATTTTAGAATAAAATTTGTTGTTTATTTTTATGAATATCATAACTTGATTGATGTGGTTGGATTATTATACACATGGGTTATATTTTTGTCACGGAAGGTTGTTATTGAGTAATAAATAATTAATATAATAATGTTTAATCATCACTGAAGATTGATAAGGTGTGTTACATGCTGTGTCACTGGGACTTATTTTGGATAACCTGTAATTGGATTGTTTGATGTCCTTAATGTTTTTTGTGCCTTGTTTTTTGTTACATTCACCTAACATTGATTGATATGTGTAGTTATAGAACATGAAAAGAAAATTCTTAAGCTTATTCCATCGAGCTTCTGGCTATCTATCAGGGGTAAAGCATTAGAATCTAGATGCATTTCAGAAAATAAACAGTTCATTGATAGCCTGCAGATGAAAAAGAATAATTAACTATGCATGCATTAACCAATTTATGCATACAACCTCAAATATTTAAAAGTTAACTATATTAATAAGCTATTATTTTAATATATTTATCCTGCTGGTATGTTCTCCTTAATTTCCACAGGCTGAAGAAGAGCGTCAACCGCTGATGTTGAATGTGGGCGGGGTTAGTCACGCTTCATTACCCAACACTACCATGTCATAAAATGATCCCTTTAATTATCATTACAAATCCCAACCCTTAAATGTCACTACTATGTGTCAGTTCCACTTATGTCATTGCTATTGTTTTGTTTCTTCTTTTTTTTGCATTAAAAAGTTACTTCATTTTAATATATAATTACAAAGTAAAACTCCTTTTTGCAAATGCAAGATTTCAAGACTGACTTTCTATATTTCCTTATAAATTAACATTGATTATTTATCTGCAAGTCTCTAAATCTGGATTTTTGATAATTATTTAATTATGTACTCAATTATTCGCACATTACATACTCATTTCATTTAAGTATTTCATGTCATATATTTAAGTCCAGAGGCTATAGTGCTTAATTGTACTTTAAATGCATCACAAATATATTCATGATAAATATTGTTGATATTTGTGATCGGAATTGATGAACATATAATGAAATTATTGTCATAATAATCATGAAAACAAGCAAACAAAATGCTTATAACATTACATACTAAACAATAATGGTCATTCGCAAATTATATATTCATTTTATTTAAGTATTAATGTCATATTTAAATCCAGAAGCTATAGAGCTTATTGTACTGTAAATGCCTCGCATATATATTTGTAATGAATATTGTTTGATATTTTTGTTCAGAATTGAACAATGAAATTACCATCATAATGACCATTAAAATGAGTAAACAACATGCTTGTAACATACTTAATAAACAACAATGATTATTCGGATATTCATTTCATTTCACTATTACATGTCATATATTTAAATCAAGAGGTTATAGTGCGTATTGTACTGTAAATGCCTCACAAATATATTCATGATGAATATTGTTTGAAATTTTTGTTCAGAATTAAAGAACATACAATGAAGTTACCATCATAATAATCATTAAAACAAGCAAACAACATGCTTGTATTATACTTCAACAAATAATTATGCAGTACATAAGTTTAATAAACCATAAATCAAATTAGCCAAATGCCACAAAAACATGCATGTGTAGAATATAAGAACTGTGATACATTTGCCTAAAAACCATTTGTAACATATGTTTTTCTGTAGTCTTAATAAATTTGGTATTATTTGGTCATTTAATAACTACATTTCTATTGGTGGTTGGTTGGATATGTGGCTTGACTTGTGGCACCCGCCCACATTTATCATTACTAATTTTTCTCATTTTTTCATATTTTAATATAATTAAATAATAATCATTTATTTGCAATATATATTAACTGCTGATTCTGTTAAGTGATTCTATCCTATATGTTCCTTTCTATCAAATATACTGAAAACTTTAATTTTTATATACTGTACAAGGTTAAAAGCCACTAAATTTATAGTTCTACAGAAAGAGGAAACAAGAGAAAAACATTATAATTTACATAGTAAAAGAATAAAATATTTAATTGCACTGGAGAAATATTTGGCAATAATTTCTTAAGTGATTGTATGAAATATTAAAATTATTTAACATACAGTGGTAGTTGAATTTTAATTTCAAACAATTCTTCAATATCAATATAGCTTCAATTTAAGTGATCAGTAATATAATGCGGTAATCCTCAAAAGACGACATATTATGCAAGTAGATTTTCTAACAGCTTTCTAGTCTAGATCTGCTGTTTAAACTAGTTGCCTCTTTTCCTAACGCTAATGAAATTACAATTTCTATGTGCTGTAGTACTTCATTAGATATCGGAAATCTGAGTTCAGATGTTGCTATCACATAAGCCCTTTTGTAGTCTCAACTGTGCAGACTATGTCAAGGTCATATAAATAAACATTTAAAATATAGTCTGCATTTTTATAGATAATTTGTTATCTTCATTGAATATGTATAGTTCCTATTTTTACAGCCTATCCAAACTGTATGTATGGATTGGATTGCAATAGTATCAGAATTAGGAATTTGTTGAAGAGTGGTTTAACAATAGCCACTTCTTAAAAACATGATTTGATCAATGTAGTCTCTACACCAATTTGTTTATGTAACTTGACCTTTGACATCATGCATAGTTGTAAGTCTGAAATGGCTGCTTATTGTTATAAAATACAACATTAAAAAATTGAAATGTCTTATCACACAATCCTCTGTTGGCTAGGAAAAGTGAAAGTAGTGTTGCTATTTAAGGATTGTATTGTAGGTTGTAGTTTTGTAATTGTTTATTATCGTTAACATACTAACTGTTTATTAAACGCATTTCATTTCCATTAATTAACAACCTCACTGACTTGTAGTATATAAGCTCCACTCAACTATGACTCAACATAAGGAGATTTGCTTATTACCCTAGTTGCTGTATGTATTTGCTTATTACCCAAGTTTGTGTTGTATATATTTTATAAATAAATATCACAAATCATTTGTTTCATATTATTGGTGAGTGAATATTCAAAAGAGTTAATTCAACAGGGACATGAAATGGACTGGTAGATTTATTTGCATAAAGTTAGTTAAATTAACTCTTTTAACAATTCATTTAACCTGTTTGTTTATATGTTCTAACATTGTTCTTAAATGGTATTGTTTCCCCAACAGAGCATTATGCACTTTCACTTCACCATGTGCAAAACTACCACTAATCCAACAAAGATTGAATTTATTATTATAATTTTTATTAGAATATCTTGTGTTCTCTACTGTAGTATCATGCAGGGAGCGGGCCGAAGCAGCGAGGTGGCTACATGAGTCCTGGGCTTCAGGACCTACCGAAATCTGATCCTATGCAACAGACCATGGAATGGAGTCATGGTTATGGGATGGATTCAGGAATCCAGAGTGGTGCAACTACCCAGGCACCATCCGTCAGTAGTAAGAGTCTGCACGATGAAGATGATCAGAACATGTATCCAGATTGGGACCAGAGCTATAATTACACCCAAGAACAAGTTGATGGTGAGTGGGGATCATGATTAGTACTTAAGAGATTAGCCCATATATCAGTTGTGATTATCATACACTTCCATACAGTGCTTGTAATTGGAATGCATAGATATAAATACGGCCATGTTCTATGCCATAGTGAATTAAAAGGTAGCAAAATAGGATGATTAGCATTTCATCATGCAAATTTATGAAACATTTATTATTATTCAAGGTATATTTTATTCAGAAAATCATCAAAAATTGTACATGGCAGCCAAAGGCTGAATTGAGACAATTGTACAAAATCAGAACACATTCAAAGATAAAACCAGTGACCTATTAACTATTGATAATGATAAACCATTATAGAAATGCAAATACCAAAAATAAAACAAAAATTTACAAAATCAACAAAGGCAAAACTAAAAAAAAAAAAAAAATTTAAGTTAAAGTAACCATCAATCCAATTAAAAGTTAGTAGGATAATGAACTAAAATGACCTGTAATTAATATAAATATGATTGTTTATTTGATTGACAGAAATGAACCAACAGTTGAACCAGACACGTTCTCAGAGAGTCCGTGCTGCAATGTACCCAGAGACATTGGAAGAAGGAACTCAGATCCCATCAACCCAGTTTGACCCCCAGCACCCAACAGCTGTACAGAGATTGGCTGAGCCATCTCAGATGTTGAAGCATGCTGTTGTGAACCTGATCAACTACCAGGATGATGCAGATCTTGCCACAAGGGCCATTCCAGAATTGACAAAGCTCCTCAATGATGAAGACCAGGTAAATATAGACAACTTCTAATCACCTTGAATAGGGTGTTTTGTATGTGAAATATGTATTTCGTACATCATATCAGTGTATTTTGTTTTTTGCTCACTACATAAATATTTAGATTTGAAAGATTTATTGTTAAAATATACATAGAACATAGGTTGGATTACAGGTGGACTATTTAAATATTTAGATTTGAAAGATTTATTGTTAATATATACATAGAACATAGGTTGGACTACAGGCGGACTTTGAATGAATGAATATTCAATTAATTACTATTTCATCATGCATTAAGATTTTATTCCGTAATGCATAATCTTAAGTGATCCTATGTGCCTTACAGGGTAAAGTTGTCAGTCGGTTTCTTGATTTCGAGCCCAGAATTTAGTGGAAAACTTTTTTCCAACACCAGTCTACAGCTACATTTAAGCATCATTATATTTATTATATCTGAATATTTGTTGGCATTGTCCAAAGTTCTTATCTGCTATTGAGCTTTTTTGTGATGTGGCCTGTGTTCTTACAACACATGCAAGTATATGTTCGTATACCATTGAAAATTTTTTTTTCTCTCTAAATACTAATCTCATATCCTAATGTCTAGGTGGTTGTTGGCCAAGCAGCTTTGATGGTTCACCAGCTCTCCAAGAAGGAGGCTAGCAGGCACGCTATCATGAACTCCCCACATATCGTTGCTGCTTTGGTTCGAGCCATGGCTAACAGCAACGATGCAGAGGTGACCAAATGTGTAGCAGGTACTCTACACAACTTGTCACACCACAGAGCTGGACTCTTAACCATCTGGAAAAGTGGAGGAATTCCTTTGTTGATCAAACTCCTAAGGTATATTTAAAAAAGAATACCCTTATAATGTAGAATGGTAGTATATTTTTTCTTAACATCATATCTGACAAAGATTATACATCCTATTCTAACGAAGCTTCAAAGTGCTGGGACACTTGGTAAATCTCATGGCCCTAGGCAAGTGACCGTGGCCTTAACTTGAAAATTGATACATCATTTTTAAAGCCAGTTAATGTAGTAATGCATTTCAATTTATAGGGGGTAAATTTAATGACATGTAACCTATAATTTAATTTAACATTTAATAAACTCACTAAAAATAATTACAACACTCGATAATGAACTGTTTATATCTCCGGTCAACGTGCAGTGACCAAATAGTTTCTACATCCCAACCAATTTAAACTTTAGACAGCATGCCACAAGGAGAAGCATATATATTTTTTTGTAGAGCTGTAAGACTAATGCTATTTTTATTTTTAATTTCTTTTTTTAGTTTTCATATATGAAATAGATAAGATACGCACTTGATCTTTCAGAAAGGGTTTCTTTTTTCTTTTTTTCTTATGGAATTACCCAACACACTAGGGGGCTGTACCCTCAGGCTTAATAAATAATCTTTATCATTTCAATAACTTAATACAGATCCCGTTCCCTTTTCAGCTTTCTATGCCATAGGCATAAATTATGATTCTGTATCGCGCAGATCTTTGTTACGAACCGAGTTGTTTATTGATTTTGCTAAATTGTAGACGACAAGTCTGCCAAATATTTTTTTTGGTGGTTTTATAATTAATTGGATTCTTTGCATATTATATGATATTTGAATAATTTTTTTAGTTAAAGTAGTTATTCATTCGTTTACTTTTATTTCAGATTAAAGCCATGGAAAGTATTAATGCAGTTAATTAAATGATAATATGTATTATTATATTGTATTTATTTAGCGCCTAGAGGGTCATTGGTCGCTCTAACTGCTTTAACTACTGTATGGTGGTAATGTACCCTGCCGGACACCACAATATTTGTGAATTTTATTTGTAAAATTTTAGGTTCATTGTAGTATTTGAATGATTTTGCTTCCTATTATAGCTCTCCCATCGAGTCTGTACTATTTTATGCCATTACCACCCTCCATAACTTACTTCTTCATCAAGAGGGAGCAAAAATGGCAGTACGTCTTGCTGGCGGTATACAGAAGATGGTGGCGCTCCTTGATAAAGAGAATGTCAAATTCCTTGCCATCACAACTGACTGTCTGCAAATCCTTGCATATGGCAATCAAGAAAGCAAGGTAAGATATTCTCTTGTATTGTTATTATGTAGGTGCTCTTTGCTCTTATATTGTTGTTACATATTCTCACTGGCATCGGAAAGCCACTAGACAGTGATTTAGTTCACTTTTGTCAATCCAGTCCGGTCAATTGAGTGTGTTTTGTGTTCGATGATAGTATATATACACGGAAACTAATTAAAGGACCATCTTTGAGGCAGGAGAAAGTATGGTCCCTGAATGAGAGCGGCACTACATAGAATGCAATATAAAAGTAATGATTATTTTTTCGCTGGTCCGAGGAAATAGCGGTTCTTTAAAGGAGTTTGTTCATTAATAAAGTTGTTGCTATTTAGAGTTCATACTGTACTTCCTTTTGGGATTATCAAAAAGTTACAAGTATTAAAGTCTGTGATACAATCGGGAAAAACCTTGAAACATCAAATTTAATCAAATGGATCTAAATAAGTTATCAGCTTCTAATAAGACAGGTCAAACCAGTTTGCATTTCAATGATTTTATAAACTTTTTACTACGGAAATACTTAAATTGGTTAGCAGCTAAATTAAAGCTCTATGCAACAAATATAGAAATGGTAATAATTACGTATATTTGCAAGAAAAATTTTAATTTTAATTGTAAGATATAAAAACATTCAGATTTTACTTTATTTTTTACTCAACAAATTCAGAATCTTGTGGAAGACAATGGATAGAGGAATAAAAATACAGCAGGCATAGTCCAAGTTTCAATGTATTTTAGCTCTCAGTTTTTAAGCTTTTAATAAGTTCAGTTAATTGGATATTATGCTTTCATTCATTAAAACATTTCAAAATTTTTATAAAGGGTAATTGTTATTGAGATGGAATAGACAATAACTAGATTTGCATCAGGAGAATCAAGTATAGGTGTAATTTTGCCCAACCTGACGTGAAAACCCGAGAACAACTTGCAATTCAGTACATTGTCATGTCAGGTTGGGAAAAATTACACCTATAAAATTTTTATAGTTAAATATTGTCCCTAGCATGAAGTAACCTATTTGTTTTCATTAATAATTTTCATCAATGACTTAGAAACACAAAGAAAATGAAAGAATTCCATTGTGAGGTGTACCTTTAGGCAAAAGTATTTACCTATGCAAAGCATTACCTATGCATATACGGCATCAATCTTCTGTGAATTTCATTGCCATTTATCCACTCTTCATGATGTTTTTTGAATATGTCAACTTATGCAAACCTTTTAATATTTTGAATATTTAAAAAGCACACATTATTGACAATTCTTACTTCTTTCAATAAAAATGAATAAGCTTACTATGTGATTTTTAGCTTGTCTTGGAAATGCAGAAAGATATTCACATTTTGAACTATAAAAAAACTGAACACCATCTGTGGGAAGATTTATGAACATCAGTAATTGTTTTGTAGAACAAATTTCATCTTTGGTTAACTAATTGCTTTGAGATGTGGTCACATGATATGTTTGCATGATACGCGTTCCATCGTGAAACTCCCTCTGGCATTGTATGATTGACAAGCTTCTTTTATATGTGCACTTAAAAAAAAAGAGAAATGCATTTCCAAGCGAGATTTGAATGAGAGGCAATGAAATTCATTCTGCAATTCATAAAATGTGATTATCAATTTGACACAGTATGTCTTTTTAAGCCAGTGTGTATGCTATTAAATATTATTGTATCATAACGTTTACATTTGAGTATTCCTGTTAGGAAAACAGCAGGTTTTGATTTGAAGTGTTGAATAGCATATTATCAAATAGTTACTATCAATGATTGTAATATTCAGATTACCAAAGTTTTGCTTTTTTGGATTTCCTTTCTTGGCCCTTGATCTAAATCTGACACTTGCATTTAGTACTGTGGCTTACATACATGTTAACAGTGTTTCTAAAAGCATACATGTACTTATTCATTTATTCATTCAAATTCATATAAATTACAATTAGCAGTAAATAGCTACATTTACATTACAGAAAAAATTATTTTAATGTTTATCAATCATGATCCTGGTTTGTGAAGAAAGTAGGGTTTGTTTGATTTTTTAAATTTCTAAGCAAGTTAATTCATTTGGTAAATAAGAACTTTTTTTTATATAAAACTAAAACATTAAATTAAAATTTTAAACAGGTTTAAAGTTTTTTTTTAATAGTAACCCTACATATAAGATAGGAATAATGTTTCTATGTTACCAAATTAGGCAATGAATGTATTTTAATAGTTAATTTTATTTCACAATATATTTGATTTCATTCATATTATTTGTTTTTGCTTTAGTTGATAATTTTGGCAAGCTCTGGTCCAGCTCAGCTTGTAAATATCATGCGTACATATACCTACGAAAAACTTCTATGGACAACCAGCCGGGTACTCAAGGTCTTGTCAGTCTGTCCTAATAACAAGCCAGCCATTTGTGAAGCAGGTAAAAAATTATCCTATTTTAATTAATGAATTTAAATAAAATCATGATAATACAAACACTATACAAACACATACTAAATAGTGTTCTGTGTTCCTTTGAAAATTTAAGTTAAATTGGTTTTTATAGATAAACTGCATAATAAACTTAAGAAGTCAAATTCAATTATAATAAGATTTCAGTGCAAGTGTTAACAAGTAATTAGAAGTATAGATTATCATATTCATTAATAATGATTATGATTTATGAATATTATGTTCATATACTGGCTATTTAATCGTTTAATTAAATGAAATTTATTATTAGCAAACTTATGTAATTAATTCAATTAAAAGGTTATCAACATCTTTCTGTCCTAAAATGGGAACTGCATACGAATTGTCAGTGTGCAACATAAATTAGACTTCACAATACATATTATAAATTTAAATTATATGGTGATGTAGAATTGCTCTACACATGTATTAAATCTACTCTGATGGCTTTCACAGGAGATTAATGCATTCGCAATCAAAGGCTCACCCAGTTTTATGATGTTTTCACTCCGTATCTAGTATTAACATGTAATCATTCCCTGTCCTCGCTAATAAGATGGATTTCACTTTTTACAAACTGATTTTATCCCATCGCAGTAGTTGTACTTGTAAGGGTGTGTGTGTACCTACCTTACCTGTTCTTACATAGTGTTCCCAAATGCTAGATGGATTTTAATTTGTTCTGTAGTTTATCTACTTAAAGCCCTGTCCACACTATCAAATTTTATTAACAAATATAATATGCATAAATATGGTCATAACATCACATCATGACCATATATAGGCACATCATGACCATAACATCACATCACATGACCATATATAGGCACATCATGACTATATGGGCATTCAATAGTTTTTTGTCATAGTGATTTTATAGTGTGGACAGAACATAAGATGGTTGTTGAGACTGATTAGATGGATTCCATTTTGATTATATTTACTCTCTTCACTTCCTCGTTCTCTTAATGATTGATTGATTGATCATTTTTATGACTAATAATAGTATTCCAAGAAAAAGAAATGCAATCCATTATGTTACGATGTAATATGATGTATTCACTTTCTATTTTTCTCTGATTAATGACTGATTTTCTTAAACTAGCAAATCTGACTTAGAAAGATAAAATTGAATGATTATATTCACTCAAGTGTTTTTATGTATTAATAAAACAATTTGTTGAATGAATTTATTCAATCACTGTCCTCGTTTTTATAATTTTTCTCTGTATAACTTTTGTTTAAGGTAGCATACTTTCAATCTTTTTCATACAGATTGACTTTTCCCAGTATTAATTGTTTTCAATCCTCATTATATCCATCAGCTATATTGTCCCAAGGTAATTCAACAGAACATAGCGCGTGCGTACAGTCCTTTGATCTTTACTGATTTTGATCTTTATCGGATTGTCGATGGACAATCCGATACTAGTTGCGAGTACAGCCGTCAATTATTAGTCTATGCCATTCGTGCCATTCGTTTTATGGTGTTAGTTTTTATTTTATTAATTTTGATTACTTTGCAATGTCTGTTACATCTGACTTTCATTGACCGCGAGCTTGTTAAATGCTTCTATAAACTGCAATTTGATTTTGGAAAATTGACCAAGAAAATGAAAAGTTATAGCAATTTAAAATTTACGAATTTTATAAAATTTCATGTTCTTATGTAACATTAATCTGTCATTTTGACAATGTTGGCATAATGTACCGAAAACGAACATTTGAGTATATACAGAACATTTAATAATTTTTTCTGCGAAGTGAGTCTCATGAATGACAATACACCACAATTTTGGTAAAATTAAATGAAGAATATAATTTCAGTCTAATGTTAGTGCAAAATATCATTAGGCCTTTGTAATCACCGCACGATGCACGATTATCATGGCAACTAACATGCGCGTGGGTAATTCGTCACGTACGCTGACGGTTTATGGTCTGGTTGCTATGGTTTTTGTGACGTTTAGCGTGTAGGGACGCACATGCGCCTAGAATGTCGATGCCAGAGTTATAACTTTTGATGAGCCGAGATGTGCGTCCTTCTGTTCATTACCTTGATTGTCCACACTGGCACATATGTGAAATATTTGTATAATGTCCTTATGGGCATGAAGATGTATTAATTACACCAAAATATTTATTTGTCACAAGGATTTTAGTTTACCAATTGATTATAATGTTGACTATCTACTGATCACCTAGCTCATTTCCATTTTTTAAATTATTAGGTTTACAATGTTATTTTTTTCTAATTATTTTGCTTTGTTTCACACTAGGTGGTATCCAAGCACTTGGGATGCATTTGGGGCATCAAAGCAACAGACTTGTTCAGAATTGCCTGTGGACCCTCAGAAACTTGTCAGATGCAAATGTCAAAGTAGTAAGTCACCTATTACTTCTACCATTAATAAAATCCTCTGTTTCTGATTTATGTGTATACATCTATTGGCTTGTAAATGCTATGTTTCTCTAAAATTACAAAAAAAAACTATTTAAATGTGACCTGGGGATACCTCATTTACAAGCCATAGCATTAACACATGCTAAAGCACAAGTATAAAAAAATATCGTAAGCCAAGCGAATGCCGTTAATTTATAGATGATTTTTTTTTAGAAGCATTTTATATCGTTTAATTGAAATAAGTGTGTTAACGATATATAAATTGATTTATATAAATCACATTTTGGAGAATTCTATCTGATCTGCAATTGTACAGGTAGTGAATAAATAAATGAATGGTAATTAAAGGTCGCCATAGAAAGTCGCACTCGAAATTCTCATGATTTGTTTCGCTGTCTGCATCCTCATTGAATGATAGTCACCTGATTGATCAGAATATTTTTTGGAAATAAAAATTGATTCCTTAGTCGTATTGAATGGACCACCAATAAAACATAATATGCAATATTTGTTCTGCCCATGTCAATCTGTTTGTGTAAATTGACCTTAATACATCATTTGTGGATTACAATATTAAGATGTTTTAATGTTTTTTCTGAAACGATTAAAAAAATAGGTCTTTATAGTAATGTAGGTACTAAAATTGTTTGTGTTGTTATATTCCATATTTACATATAAGATATTTCAAATGTTGGTATTGTTATAACAAGAATTTCTTATATTCAAATATTGTTTCCAAGCTCTGAACAAAATAGCCATTGTACCGTTTCTGTATTATCCTATGAATGTCACATATTTGATTGGAATTGCATTCTAGGTTTCATACTTGAAATTGTGTGTAATTTGTAATTGTGATTTGAGGTGAGTGATTACACTCTCACGTAGTAATCTTAAAATCAGATGAAAATCCCATGCCTTTAATCAGGTAGAACTCAAATTACATGCTTATTCCATTTAAAAAGTAAAAGATGTTTCTAAATTCACTAAACATTTACAAAACAAGTATCTGAAAAAAAATTGCTCTTTGATGCCTATGTGTATCATTTTCTGTGGGTTGCGTTTACATAGCTTTAAAAAAAACCAACGTAAATGAATGTAGTTAGTAACTATTTCGCTGGTGAAAGCTCAAAATGTTTATGAAACCACCCCTTCATTAATGTTTGGAAGTAGGAACAGTTCCTGCTTCTTACGCTGAAGACCCCAGTTCAAATATGGCCAGCATTTGCTATTTGTGTACCCTCGCATAAGAGGTAGGCAAGATTGGGGACATGTGGTACTGGCACAATATTGTGGCTGCTGTGGATCCCTGTGGCCCAGCCAAAATTTCTAAATGACAAAAATTAAATCAAAATAAAGGAAATCCTCCTTAGAGAAAATAAATTTAGTGTGTTTTTCATTTTTATATCAAGTGTTATGGTAATGTTGTTGCTTTTTGACTAAAACAGGATGATATGGAGGGTGTAATGCAGATGCTAGTACAGCTACTGTCCTCCAACGACATCAATGTAGTCACATGTGCTGCCGGCATCCTCTCCAACTTGACATGTAACAGTCCACGTTCCAAGATGATAGTCTGTCAGATAGGTGGCATTGAAGCTCTTGTTGGCACCATCCTCCAAGCTCGCGACAGAGAAGATATTACAGAACCAGCTGTAAGTTTTTTTTGTTTTTTTTATGGCGTTGCCAAAAAATACTAAAAAAATCTGTGGGAAAAAAATATGTGTTGCCTAAACAGATGGAAGCAAAATCTTGAAAACAATATTTTAAATATTATTATTTTTACCAAGGAGCCACCTAAAACATTGTTTAGGTCCTAGGCATATATTAGAATAAACCACAAAATTCTGAATAAACAATCCTCATTTTTAAATATCACTGTCTGATAATTTTTTTTTGCCAAATCTTTTATTTATAAGTTTATATATTTATACATAATACTATTGTAGATTTGTGCTTTACGCCATTTGACAAGCAGACATCCAGAATCAGAAATGGCGCAGAATGCTGTACGTCTTCATTACGGTTTGCCAGCCGTCGTAAAACTCCTACACCCACCATCTCGCTGGCCTCTTATCAAGGTAAGCTTACGATTTCCATTAATAATTTGAAACCGAAAAACATCCCAGGATGTTGTGATTAATCTAAGATGAAAGCTGCAAATTCTCATACAAATTACGTAGAAATCCTACATTGGCTCATAATCATTGATCATGTTTGTTGAGCATTCTATCTCATTTAGAAAGCAAACCAAAGACATGATTTGTTTTAACTGAAAGTATAATTTGTCTTCTGGTTTATTCAACGCTTGGGAAAGAGCATTGTCGCATTTGATATTTCTAATTTTCATTCTAACCATTACGGTTTCGAGAGGTAATTAGAGTTTAGAATATATGCATAGCTGCAAATTACCTGAGGGGGTAGGGTGATTGAATGTATTTGTTGCTTGAGGGTGTATGGAGATTGAATGTATTGGCTTGCTAATGACAATGGTTGTTATCGCCACAAAGTATTCAGATTTTCAATTTCAGTCTTCGTTACGTATGAAACCCCTATATTCACAGGAATTATTTCAATTAGATAAAGTAATGTGTGATTCTACATACAAGGAATAATTATTTGAATTTCTATATGCAAGTGATTATAAAACCATTTTAGATGATCAGTCTGGAGAATGTAGACCAATAAATCTGTTTACAATGCAAGATTGCTTATATTGTCGTTGTGGGACTTCTGGTTGGATAATAACATGGTCTTGACAGATATGAGCAATATTAATATGAATAGTACTATTCTGTACTTATTCAAGTATAGCATTGCATAAGCAAGGATTTAAAATAAATTACCTATTGTATTTTTTTATGATAGTTATAAGTATAAAGCTGGATAACAGATTCTTTTAGTTCATTGTCATTATGTTTTAATTATGAATCTGTGAAATCTTATGTAATACATAGATCCTAAAATCTTGTACCTTACTTGATACGGATTTAATTGATAGCATTTGGTTTTTGTTTTTCAATTCCAGGCAACAGTTGGCCTTATTCGCAATCTAGCCCTTTGTCCTGCTAATCATGCACCCCTCAGAGAGCATGGCGCACTTCCACGTCTCGTGCAGTTGTTGATGCGTGCTCACCAAGACACGCAGAGAGTAAGTACAAATGAGTATAGACCATTTATAATATAAACTAAATAGGACCAATAATGATGTTATTTTAAAGATTAACATCATGTCTTTTCAGTGAACACCCATATATTATTGATTGAGGTAATGCTAATGATTTTGCTTATTTCACAACATCCTTTAGAGAACATCCATGGGCAGTAATGGCAGCCAAACACAAAGCCGCGTTGATGGAGTACGTATGGAAGAGATCGTAGAAGGCTCTGTTGGGGCTCTGCACATCCTGGCTCGCGAGACCCATAACCGTGCCATCATCCGTGGACTCAATAGCATTCCTCTATTTGTTCAGGTAAATAAGTTTACTGCTCCGTAAATAAAATATTATATTTCTTTTGGTGCATCACAACCAGTCAAATACTAGAGAGCTGAGCATGTTTACATTCCAATAGGCAAAGCAGGAGATGCTCATTGAGTGTCAAGTTATAACCTGTAATGGCAAGTGTGTGTGTGTAAGAAATTGTTTTCAAAGGGAACTAATCATAAGCTTAAGTAAAATTATGAACTTAATGTCAAAAATATAGCATTTAAATTTCTTCAGTTTGTAGTTGTCATTCAAATTTTTTACCTCGATTTAAATATTTTTTGTAATTAATATCTAAGGCTTAGATATTTGGATTCTTTCAGTATTCTTTTTAATCTTTATATTACTAATTGAGTTACAATGAGGAAATTCATAGAACATTAGATTTTAGGTAAAGGAAGTGATCTTGACTGCTTAGAGTAATGTACTATGGGTCACCGACCTTTAATTGACCTGCCTACCATCACTTAAAACTATTTTCCTGATTAAATTAGGATGTGTGTAGCCTGTTTCCATGTTCGAAACACTTTTATTATAGTGGTTTCTCTTTAGTCATCAATAAAAATTGTGTATAATTTTATACCTTCTCTCGCTTTTAATATAATTCCTGTGATCAGCGGATCACAAGAGTTTGATACAGTAGGAAATACTTGATTATGATGTAGTCGTCGTTCTGCCAGCCTTAATTATCCTTATAACACATTGCTTTGGCGGTTTCAAACTGGGTGTGATGCCATTCTTCAGAGAGTCAGAGCATGATAGAGTATTTGGTGAATAATAGGGGTAACCGTGGTAACCATGTAGCTGCTTGCCTCAAGTCTTGTCCAGACTATCAAATTTTAAAAACTGTTGTATGCCCATATATAGTCAATGATGTGCCTAATATGGTCATGATGTTGCAATCCAGTGATTTTCCATGGCAAAACAACGTAACTACAAGATTACGCAACGTAACTACAAGATTACGTGGCAAAACAACGTATCTGCGATGAAGATATGTTGTTTTGCCACAGAATGCTATTCAAAAATGGTCTAGAGCCGATGAATAATAAATAAATAATAATCTTAAACAGCAATGTATGAACAGGCTAGGTGATGCATATGATTGCCCCAAACATGATAAATTCCAAAAATATGTCACACTTGCAACAATACCAAGCCTGACATGTTTCCACTTCGCTAATAACTTTGCAATAATCAAATAGTTGTAATTAAAATTTTGTGTATATTTCAATTTGCCAATTAAAGTTTGATTACAGATATGAAGGACATAAGTGAAAATGCATAATGTAGATATAGTGAATTCGCAATGAATCCAAATTTTTGAGATCGGAAAGCCTACTGAACCAATCAAACAATCAATTCATTATGTATTTTACAGCCACCTACGCAGCTGCTGTGTTGTTCAGGATGGCCGAGGACAAACCAGCAGACTATAAAAACAGGATCTCCGTCGAGTTGTCGACTTCCTGCTTCAGTCGACCACAATGGCCAGATGTAAGTCATTAAGTAAACACAAATAATTATTGTTTCTTCAATCATCAGTGAATGCTCACCAAAGATCATTGCCGTGTGGTGCAGTGATTGAGCACTCCATTTTTAATCTAGGGACTATACAAAGTAAGGATGATGGAATTTCATTTATTTCTCTCCCATCATTTATTTGCCATTAAAAGTTGAACAATAAAAAATGTATAAATTCTGTCTCTTATACACATCTAGATGTGTATAAGAGACAGGAGTATTTGGTGAATAATAGGGGTAACCGTGGTAACCATGTAGCTGCTTGCCTCAAGTCTTGTCCAAACTATCAAATTTTGCGTTTAGCACATCAGAAAAGTGTAGCATATTTCGGTTCAGATTAGATGCAAATGCCGCATTTTAATATGAGCAATAGTCATAGTTTGTTCCATCTACATCAAGATTTACAAAAGCATATGTAAACTGAAAACTCTAGACATAGCAGAAACAACAAACTTTCATACAACCCAAAACCGCAACCACAGCACAGCACCGACCGTTGCTGTTGCGCTGTCAATCATTACTCAAGTGTTGCACAGAAGCATCCAAGCATAAGATTAATTATGTCGTAAAATCTGGAATAAAAAAAATGGTTAAAAATAGCAAAGTACAAAATCGGTGAATAATCTTTTATAAGAGAGGAAGCCATTTCTATTTAATGATCTTTTAGTATAAAAGGAAATAATATATATTTAAAAATACATATACACAATTCACATTGACAAAAATTTTTTTTTTCCATTGTGTAATGATCTTGTAAAATGTTTATATCTGATTAAAATTGAGTCAATGTTCCAGAGGGCAATTAGGCATGATAGATTAATGATAAATGTATTGAATTAGAAAATGTGAAATATGCTTCAATAAGCCTGTTGTGGTAAACAAGGTTGACTCTGATTTGAACCCTGTTGTAGTCCTACATCGTGGTTGGATTTTAGAAGTATAAGAGAGTAGTTAATTTTATCTGACTGAATATAGTTTTTTTTTTTCATTATAGTGCTAGGCTTTTAGATTTTTTTTGTTAAAGATATACTAGACGCCAACATCATTAAAGTGTCAGTCAGTTAACATGCCCGCTAGCCATTGCTTGTCACCGATTTTAAATTTGCTGGCGAGTGATATGATTCCATACAATTCCTCGACATTAAAGTTTTTTTAGTTTCCTTGGTTTCAATTTGGAAAGATTAGTTAGATTTGTATATTCTTTAGTTTGCTACATATGTAAACTTGATATTTGCTCCAAGTGTTTTTCTTGGTTTTCTTTGTTTAAATCAGAATTCATATGTTAAATTTTGTTTTATTTAGTTGTTCATGCACATATATTATTGCTACTTAAAAAATCAATGTAAGGTATTTACACAAGGTAACCATGAATAACAACCAAGCTTGGGTTTATAATTTCATTAGATGAAAGTTATTTATAAATTTCCTTAACCATATTTCCATTAATATATAGTTTTAATTAATGAGTCCTTTCTACAATATGTACTGAATAATAATTATAAATTACATTTTTATTTAATCTATACTCTATCAAATTGTTACCAAAATAACTATAAATTATATTAATGATAGCGATTCATATTTAATTCAGTTTTTCTGGATGGTTTGGAATATATTTCCATTAACTATTGTATATCCCATGAGAAAAACAATTTTGATATACCCCGGAAGCAGCATAATCATGATGATCTTAATTATTATCATGGAGTAATTTATTAAAAGATTGCCTTAAGGCAAATTCAAAGGGTAACTCTTATAATTCATTTTAAGATATCAATCGCCTGGTCTCTAGGAAAAAAAATTGGAGAGATATTTATTTTCAAATTAATCAACCAGCTGTATATCGTAATGATATAAGTAGAGACTTGAGTAAGCAGGAAATGTTGCACTGATGATTATCTTGTTTCTATTCTGCAGCTGCTCTACTCTAGTGTGGAGAACATTCAGCGTGTTGCGGCTGGGGTCCTTTGTGAGCTGGCTCAGGATAAGGAAGGCTCAGAGATTATTGAGCAGGAAGGGGCAACCGCTCCTCTCACTGAACTCCTGCATTCAAGCAATGAAGGAGTCTGTAAGTTGCAATAACATTTAGTATTATTTTATATAAAGGGACCTTTAAGCTTGTTGGTTTAGATGCTTGTGTTGTTTATGTAGTGACCACAAATAAATAAACTCAACTACCCTCTTCTTAAAATAACAGTGTGACATTGTTTGTAAATCATCCCCTGATTTTTTTTTTTCTGATTTTTGTAACTGTGTCCCATTTGTATAAGGGCTATCAGTGTTCTCCCAATTGAACAATTTTTACTGCTAAATTTGTCCATATAAAACCAGCTAAGCATGTGCAACGTGAGGTATTGCTTCTTTTAAGTGGAGTTTAATGGCTTCAAAAAACAATACATATAATCATAGCCTAGGTCTGGACTGGAATGATGTTCATTTATTTAATTAAGGCCAGCCTAGGCTACATAGGCCTAATAAGTGCTTTCTTTTATTCTACCAACACACAATTTTTGCTGGTTGGACAGTTATTTTTACTGGTAAAATTGACAGCTAAAACAGCTTCGGAAGAACACTGGGCCATGTATCATAGAATATATTGTGTGCAAATTTAACACAACCCAATACCACAGCTGCTCACCAAGTAGTGCTACAAAAATAATTCCAAAAATGAACAGCATTGACAGTTATTACTAGGTGTATTTAACCATGGGTTTTGCTATTTTAATTGTAATTACATTACCCTACCTACTAAAATTGTTGGACAGTGGAATGCACATTTCCATATTTACACCAAATATGTTATCTCTACCTTTATTTGTTATTTGTAAATGTTACATTTATATTCTTTTCATTGATTTTTACAGCCACCTACGCAGCTGCTGTGTTGTTCAGGATGGCCGAGGACAAACCAGCAGACTATAAAAACAGGATCTCCGTCGAGTTGTCGACTTCCTGCTTCAGTCGACCACAATGGCCAGATGTAAGTCATTAAGTAAACACAAATAATTATTGTTTCTTCAATCATCAGTGAATGCTCACCAAAGATCATTGCCGTGTGGTGCAGTGATTGAGCACTCCATTTTTAATCTAGGGACTATACAAAGTAAGGATGATGGAATTTCATTTATTTCTCTCCCATCATTTATTTGCCATTAAAAGTTGAACAATAAAAAATGTATAAATTTTAACACAAAGTATACAAATGTAGTAAAAGTAGCGAACAAAAGAGGAACCAGGTTCCTAAACTACACCAGTTCTGTCGATCTAACATTGAAATTGAATTTAAAAAAAACCAAACCAAAACAAAAACCTATGAATGTAAGAAATTTTATTGTAAATAGACAACTGAAATGAAATATCATCGCTTATAATTTCATTAGTTTCTACTTGTACTAGTTCTAATAACCATTTTGAAAAAAACTTGCATATTTTTCTATAATGCTACTTAAGCATTGGGAAACAGTGTGTGTGTGTGTATAATTGTCTGAAGTATGTACTTATTATTCTTTTACAGAATGAGTTTGTAGACCCACAGTTACTCGGACATGATCAACCCAACATGTACTCCCATCACAGCAGTCGGAGCAGTCTCCCCCAGCAAGACTTCAGACAGCAACCAGGTGAGCTCATATTTGATCCCTTAACATCAATTAAAGCTTAGCCACGGTCAACCACGGTCATTTATTATTATTTTTTCAGCTTTCTTTTGAGAGGCTTTAACAGAACTGATCTCTTCAGCTGTAATAAAGTTGTAACCGGTTGGGTCATTGCCCCACTTGGATCAGATGCTTAATCCTGGATAAATCCTGGATATTTCACAGGATTCACAAAATATACAACTAATGATGAGATTTATATAAGTGTGCTTAAAATCATCTTGTAAATTTAGAATAATAGCAAGATATATATATATACTTGCATACTTGCATGTGTATATTAATTTATATTAGTCATTTGAGGGTCTTCATCAGTCTTTTAAACTTTTGTGATTTTAGGTTTCATCTGGTTAGTTTTACCTAATCTAATTATGATACTATAATACAGTAATTTTTTGGCTTTTGTTCCACTCTGTATTTCATACAAATATATTTAGTGTTACATACAGGTGAAGGTTTTATTTAATTTTGATATTTTGCAGTTAAATGTGAATAATAAAAAAAAATTATAGTAGTGGTGCAGTAATGCTTGATACAGTACAGATAATACTGACAACTAAACTAATTACTGATTTAAACTAATGAATGAAAAACAGACAATGCAATCACTACCTTTGTTTTAATCAAACCTTCTTTCCCTTGCCAAACAAACAAATTTACTAAATTTATCTAAGGCTGATGTAAAACTATCACTATTAATTGAGGTATCCTTAAATTTTACTTTCAATAATGGAAGTATAAAAAAATGTTGCAGGTTTTAGGCTTGTCGCAGAAGCTCAAGGTTATTTTTTAAAGTGGATAGTTGTTCCTCCCTGATATTATCAAATTCTTTATAATAAAAAAAAAACATAATGAAAGTGTTGAATGTCTTAAATTTCACTGCTGTGACTTAAATTATGTTGACCAGTTGTAATTTTGAAATGACAATTATTACAATTAGTATTTATTATTTTTTTTTGTGTTTTTATTTAGATCATTCCCCATTTGGGAACAACCCCATGACCCCCGGATCCATTGAACCCATGATGCAGGACCTTGACCTTGGACCCGGACTTGATTACGATGGAAACTCCGATATAGGAGCATCTTCAGCCCTCGATGACGTGAACCCCTCTGACCGATCTGGATTAGTCTTCTATGATACAGACCTGTAGAACATTAAAATACTGATTTCCATTCTATCACTCCAACGTAAATTTTTGATGTATATTGACATGAAAGAGCTAAGATTTGTAAGAGGCATAGTGAGAGCGGTCAGTGGCGACTTCCTCTCTGTATTGTGTAAAGGTAAAAAAAACCCCTCATTTTATCTACAAATTATGTATCTCCAAATATAGAATTTTTCAAGAAACCGCCGCATCACTGTTCAAGACAAAATATTTGTTAATTAGCAATGCATATGTAACCATATTCCTTGTTAGCCATAGTTTTAATTATTTGATCTGATACATATTAGTCAGCGAAGTTGGTGTGAAGCCAGTTTAAAATATATATCATTGAAAGCCAATTTGTATCATGTATAGCAGTGCCAAATTTTATTGTCTTGAAATGTGGGTAATCCCAATTATAATTAATATCATGTACGGACAATTTTATGTTTATTTTGTTTGTTTTGTGATCTTATTATAAAGCATGTTAAAAATTGCTTGGAGTTTCCTTGCTGAGAATCGCCTTACATGGTGATAGTCGTGGTAGGGAGGAAGAGCAATAGATAGCAAAGCCTAGAATAATATCGGTCATTTTCATTTTGTTTTACCCAGTTATACTTGACTGAAAATTATTAAGTCATTGCTCTCAATAACAAGTATTCAGTCTCCTTATATTTTGTTTTGCAAAGATCTAATTTACCATTGTATACT